CGGGGCGGGGGTGTTCAACGATGAGTACAAAGGGGAAGTCAAGCCGGTAACTCTGAGTTGCCTCAAAGGCCCACGATGCTCTGACCAGAAAGTGTAGGGCTTTGACACTTACGCTACTTTCAAGCTTTGTACCAAAAAGGACTGCCTGGTCCCGCACTATGGCTTTCAGAAGTTTGTTTAGATGTCTATACCAACCTCCTTTCAAATATTGGAAACTTTTCCAGATGAACTTACCATTTTACCTGTATATCCTTCTGGAACTTGTCCCTGTGAAAATAAAACAGATTTTGAATGTTTTAAAAAATCTAAAATTCAGATTTCAATTTTTTTGAAGTTTAGGTTCTGGATTTCCTATTAAACCTCCGGGGAGAAGTTTTCTAATTTTGATAACAAGTTTCAAGATGAATTACATTTCTTGGCTCTTAGACAATTAGTACACTCAGCAAATATAATTATACTATGTTAAGCCCATCTTTGGGATGAAAAGTGCTCTGTTATTTTTTTAAAAATATGGGTCAGTTCTGTATTTAAAATTAATTTGATAAATTTTAAGCAAACCCCTAAATTTGCTGGATTCAAATTATGTGACTGTTTTAAAACTAAACTTGGGTGAAATGTTTTATTAATATTGAAATACAATATATTCCCACCCTTCTTTCACATTCATCTCCAGCAAGTGCAGAAATACTAAGAAATAACGATGGCAAGAGAAAAGGGAAGTAAGCCACAAGGTATGCATAATCTGAGGAGAAACCATTAAAAATAACTCTTTAACATTCAGGCTAATTGCCTTCAGATTTCATCCTAGTATCATGCATTCAAATGTTCTTTATAAGAGGTGAAGTCACTAAATTCCAGTGTTAGAAAGGGAGCTTACAAGATGTATAGTTTTTACAAGGTATAATTTCCCACAGGGATCATGGGTTGCCTAGAAGTAAGATTAGCAGATTAGCAGTTGAATTTTACATTAAGCTCCAGGAAACATGATCAGCCTCAACATTAAAAACTAAGGGTAGAGCTGCAGTGGGATAGTCATAGCATGTGAGCTAAACCCCGTTGCAAATGTTGTTTGAAAATGGATGCATCTACCTGAAGTCTAAGAATACTTAGTGTGGTACTAAAGTAACCTCCACTCTAATTAAGTTCTCTTGTTTTAAAGACACAGTTGAGTACCCAATACAAGAAAAGCAAGTATCAAAACAGCTAGTACTACAGTTATGATGCCATAGTCTTGCATTACTCATAAACAACAGGTAGCAAGAAAACTATGAGTAGCTAGTATGCCTACAGCTATACCACCTCCACCACCATTCTTCACCATAACAACCCAGGATTTTTTCAAGGAGAAGTAGGGATCAATGAGCACATTTATTATAGAAGTTGCATTTTGAAAAACATAAAAGGGCTGACAGAATCAGAACAGGGTTATGCAAAGAACTATTCACGTTGCCCTTCTCTATTGGATGCTGTGCTTGTCATCAGGAACAGATTCCTCCTCAGAGTAAATTGTACTCTGAGATGGGAAAAGGAGACAGCAGCTGCTTGGGGTTAAATCCATGCCTCCTCTTTCATACATATTGATTGCTGCCAGATGCTGTTAAAATATATGTGTGATTTATCAAATGCAATCACACACTGAAAGTAACATTACTTTGGCTTTAAAAGAAGATATGCATGTTTCCTATACTGTATAGGTAAACATTGTTATCAGTAATACTTAGACGTATCCAGAATAAATACATTTCATTGAGATCATGCATTTTACGAGTTGGAAGGGACCTTTAAGATCCCTGCTTAGTGCAAGAACAACCCATCCCTTCTTTGTTGGACTTACGTGGTCCTCTGCTCGCTGCAAGAAAAATAGGCCCTGCTTGAGGGAGTCCATACTGTTCAACAGAGACCATTCCACTCCTGAACAGTTCCTGCAGGCAAGAACTTCAGCTTGTTGGTCCTTTGTCCTGCCATCATTTTCAACAGAATAGAGAACCGGTCTTACCCCCCTCCCCCTCCCCCTCCCCTGCCCTTAAGACAGCCTTTAGGTATCTGTAGACCACAGGGTCCTTGGATGGGACAAGGGAGGGCAAATGTCAACAGCAGTGTTATTCCAGTGTGATGCAAGCACCACTTTTTTTGTATGTGTGTCATGACATCACATGAGTTGCATTGTGACAGCTCAATACTGTTTTCTTCATTTTGATAAAAGTGGTGCAAATACTTAAATTTAGACAATTGCTATATTATTTTTTTTTGCTTCTTTTTGTGAACTGAAAAGCCCAGTTCTGTTAATGTTCTTCAGAGGACTTAATTTATAGCACTTGTAACTCTCCTCTGAATCTTGCTTTTTTTAATGCAGTGCAAGGTTGCACTGGTCTTTTTTGCTGTTGTACTATACTCTTAGCTCACATTCAGTGGGTGATCCTACAGAAAGTCTAGATCCTTTTCACACACACTGCTTCCAAACCAGGTCTTCACAATCCAGCATTTATGCATTTGATTTTTTTCTACCCAGATACAGGACCTTACACTTGAAATTCAGAGTGTAATTTCACTCTATTGGATTTGACATAATGTTCAAGTCTACCAAGGTTATTTTGATATCTTCTAATGTGTTAGCCAGTTCCATAGCTTGGTGTCACTTGCAAATGGATAAACATCCTTTGCTTCATAAGTTAAATTTGCAAGTTTAGTCTGACATACCTTGTGTTTGACAAATCTTTGCTAGTAACAGCATACTTCTTTTCTAAGCGCTAACGGACCTGTTACTTGACAATTTGTTTTAGAACTTTGTAGAGTACAAATATTAAACTAACTGGTCTGTATTTTCCTGGATCTTCTTTCTTCTCCTTTCTGAATGTTGGGATTATGTTGCGGTTCTCCAGTTTCCCAAAAAAGTTCTACCATTTCTTCAACAGCCTGAATGTGATTCACCTGTCGCTGCAGACGTGACTTCTTGACTTAAAGTTATTTACCATTTATCATTACTGATCTGTTTTAATCCCCTTTCCTCAGACATATTAGGAATAGCTCTCTGCCTCACAAAGAATATCTTAAGTAGTTTTGCCTTCTCCTTACTTTCCATAACTACTTCCTGCCTTCTCTGCACAATAGACTAACAGCATTTTTTACTGCAGTATTTTACGTTACACATTGCCCCCAAACTTTCTTATTATATTTTGAAGTCTTCAAATTGGGCTATCTCTGAGTTGAGATTATTGAAATTATGTAGTGTAATTTAAATTATAATAGTTTCTTCACTGAAGCATGACTGGCATCAGAGGCACTATCATTTCAACAGTAGGGCACTTATTTTTTCCCACCAGTAATAATTTCAGGTCATGTTCTGCCAAATAAGTCACAGATGAGAGTTATTTAAAGTGAAAATAAGTATCTTTTGTTTTTCAAATATCCTTCTTCAGAAGTTAAATTGAAAGAAGAGTCTTTCTTTCACTCCCCAGCCAGTGAGATAAGATTCAGTGAAATATATACCTGTCAGGATGCAATAAAGACATATTTCAAAAAATGTACAACAAATTA